ATTTTTTTAAACTTTTTTTTGACAATTTCCGTTTGTCTAAAGCTTTGACTAGGGATTTCATAAGTGCTACTTGTATTTTTTTACTTTGCGTAACAAAAAAGGGAAAATGTAAAAGAATTGTTTTTTTTTCTGGGCAAAGTTACAAGCAGTGATTTTTTAAAAATATTTTATTTTTGTCAAAAAAATAAGAAACAAACAAACATTCATATTCCACGCAAACAAAAAAAACGTGATGGACTAGGATATAAAACATGAAATCCTGTTGACGTTTGTTATAAAATGTGTACATTTCAGCAAAAATATATTTTATTTTTTTTATGCCTGTTCACAGACTAAGTATCCCGGTTTTGAATATTTGCAATAAAAAAAAAAACAACAACGTAAACATATATATATCCTTTATCAAAAGGGTTTGTTTTGTAAGGCAATGAAATTGTAATGAAGTTTATTTTGTGTTAAGTCTTGTATGGGACAGTTAAGGATTTGTTGCGTAGAAAGAACAAAAATTTACGAATTTTGTTAATATTAATAAAAGCAAACAGCGAAAAAAAATAAATTATGTAAAAAAAACCAACCGTAATTTTCCGGTAATGTTGTTTTTCATAAAGTTAATGTGTGTATTTAATTTATGAAATTTATATCATTCTAATCAGCAGATCAGTCTTTCCCCTCTCTCTCCTATCAAGCAAGGAAAATCGTAGTTGTGGCACTTAACAGCAGAAAAATTACATGGTTTTATTGTAAAGTATTAAAAAATTTGTACCCTATAGTCTGGACTATAGACTGATCTATAGTCTAGACTATAGACTGATCTATAGTCAAGACTATAGACTGATCTATAGTCTAGACTATAGACTGATCAGTCTTGACTATAGATAAGTCTATAGTCTTGACTATAGACTGATCTGTAGTCAATACTATAGACTGATCTGCAGTCAATACTATAAACAGATCTAAAGTCAAAACTATACACTGATCCATAGTCAAGACTATAAACTGATCCATAGTCTAGATTATAGACTGATCAAAAGTCAAAACTATTGACTAATCTAAAGTCAAGACTATAGATTGATCTATAGTTAAGACTATAGATTGATCTATGTCAAGAATATAGAATGTTGTATAGTTAAGACTGTTGTATAGACAAGACTATAGACTGATCTATAATCAAGACTATATACTGATGTATAGTAAAGACTATAGACTGATCTATTGTCAATACTATCGACTGATATATAGTCAAGGCTACAGACTGATCTATAGTCAAGACTATAGAATGATCTATAGTCAAGACTATAGAATGATCTATACGGATGACTATAGAGTGATATATAGTCAAGACTATAAAGTAATCTATAGTCAAGACTATAGAGTAATCTATAGTCAAGACTATAGACTTATCTATAGAGAATATAAACTGATCTATTGACAAGACTATTGACTGATTTATAGTCAAGACTATAAACTGATGTATAGTCAAGACAAGAGAATTATAATCAAGACTTTTGACTGATCTATAGTCAAGACTATAAACTGATCTATAGTCAAGCCTATACACTCATCTATAGCCTGGACTATAGACTGATCCATAGTCTAGACTATAGACTGATCCATAGTCTAGACTATAGACTGATCCATAGTCTAGACTATAGACTGATCTATAGTCAAGACTATAGAGTGATCTATAGTCGAGACTTAAGTTAAGACTTTAATATAGTCTCAAGTCTATTCTATTGACTTTTTTGTATGGTGAAGTGTATTTTAAATTCTCTCTAGCCCAATGCTGTCTACAGACGCCTTCTTTAACATTATTTTCCCTGCATTTTACGGTTTTATGTCCCGTATTAATAAACAAAAATTTGATTAATAAATTATTACAATTGTTAAAGAGAATATGTTATTTTGTGGTTGCTGCTGTTGTTGTATCAAAAAAGATTAAAAATTCCACTTGGTTAAATTTGTAAAGTGAATAAAAATGTTTTTGAAAAAAGCTTTCAAAAATGTTCAATTCATTATTTGAGGGTTTAATTTCACAGAAAAAAAGATTTAAGGTTTTAGTTTAAAAAAATTTTAATATTTAAACCATTAAAAAATCAAACATCACGTTAGTTTATAAAACTTTACGGAAAAACAAGGAAATTCTAACAATTCTACTATTACATCGAAATATAGTTTGTTTTCCTATTAAAAACCTTTTGATACTTATACATACGAGTACTACTTCCATAGCAAAAGAAGGCAGGCAATCTACTTCACAGTACCCCATAGTTTTAGAAGTGTTAAGAACTCATTGAACACTTAAATGTAATCGAAGATCTGTCTGTAAACCTGCTTGTAGATCAGACCAATTTGGACTATACATCAATCATATCAAGTCTGTCGGTATTCAAGATTCCTGACTACAGATCTATGGTCTCGAATATAGTGTTGACTATAGATTTGTGTAGTCTTGGCTATAGAACAGTCTATAAATCAATCTATACTCTTAACTATAGATCAGTCTATAGTCTTTACTATATATTGGTATATAGCATTGTCTATAGATCAGTCTATAGTCTTGACTATAGAAAAGTCCAAAGTCTTGACTAGAGATCAGTCCAAAGTCTTGACTATAGATCAGTCTATAGTCTTGACTAATAGATCAGTCTGTAATTAACCATGTCTTGCAACTGTTCGATACTGTTACCCAGAGCTGTTGGTTAGCTTTTCCGGTTAGCCTAGATGTATGTTACATTTTTATATATTCCAGCATTTCGCTTTAAAAAAAAAATTTACATATGTGTTTGTCAATTTTTATTTCTCGTCTTGTTGTTTTGTTACCAATATTGACAATTTCGCATGGCCATGTTATAGTTGTTGGTAGTACATGTGTCGATGGGTTGAATGAATATAGATTGTAACTCATTCTCATTCCAAAAAGGGGCACAAACAACAATAGAAAAATTGCATAAAAACAACATCAGAAAAACTCGGGAAACAAAGAAAAAAAAAAATATGAATGTTACTTGAAAAAATAACAACAAAAATATGGGTAAAAGACAACAATAAAAATGTTTGTATTACTGCAAAAACAACAACAATAGCAACAACTCCAGAACAATTGTATATAAACCAGCCGTCAAATACATTTCCATTAAACATTTATACCCTAAGAAAAACATGTATGTGAACTTTGTTTCAGTAATGGCTAAAAGGGGAGAGAGAGAGAGTTTGAAGAATTCCAGCATTAAAGTGGCAAATGGCGGTTGTTTGCTCGTGCCAACACCACAACCAAGTTGTGATGAAATTTCTCCAACATACATCAAATTTCTACACCTTCATCGCTAATGTGAATGCTGTTGTCAAAGTATTGATTCTACTGCTAATGGTTTGGTGTGAGCATTAAGATGTTGGGTGTCTGGATGTTAGCGAAACTTTTGCAAAAATTTTAGATTAATCGTAATTAATATATTTTGCCTGTAGATCGTACAGTAGTCTGGACTATAGGTCGGTTAATGATCGTAACTATAGATTAGACTGTAGTTTTGTATTTAGACAGCCTTGGCTATGGATCAGTCTATAGCCTTGACTAAGATCAGTCTATAGCGTTGACTATAGATCAATCTATAGTCTTCACTATAGATCAGTCTATAGTCTTGACAATAGATCAGTCTATGTTCTTGACAATACAACAGTCTATAGTCTTGACTTTAGATTAGTCAATAGTCTTGACTATAGATCAATCTATAGTCATAACTATAAATCAGTTTATAGTCTTGGCTACAGATCAGTCTGTTGTCCTATCTTTAGATCAATAAATATAGTCTTGAATATAGATCTGTCTAAAGTCATGACTATAATTCAGTCTAATTCAGTTCTTTCAGTCTATTCAGTCTATATTCTTGACTATAGATAAGTATATATATATTACTTTAGTCTTGTCTATAGATCAGTCTATAGTTTTGACTATAGATCAGTCTATAGTTTTGATTATAGATCAGTCTATTGTCTTGGCTATAGATCACTCACAGTCTATTGTCTTGACTATAGATCACTCTATAATCCAAACTATAGATTACTCTAGTCTTGACTATAGATCACTCACAGTCTATTTATTGTCTTGTCCATAGATCACTCCATAATCTTGACTATAGATCAATCTATATTCTTGCCTATATATCAGTCTATAGATCAAACTATACTCTTGACTATAGACCAGTCTATAATCCTGACTATAGATTAGTCCATAGTCTTGTATAGTATAGGTATATTGTCTTGACTATTAATTAGTATAAAGGCTTGACTATAGATCAGTCTATAGTCTTGACTATAGTCTCTAGTCTTGACTATAGATCAGTATATAGTCCTGGCTATAGATTACTCTAGTCTTGACTGTAGATCGGTCTTTAGTCTTGACTATAGATCAGTCTATAGTTTTGACTATAGATCAGTCTATAGTTTTGATTATAGATCAGTCTATATTCTTTACTATAGATTACTCACAGTATATTGTTTTGACTATAGATCACTCACAGTCTATTCTCTTGACTATAGATCACTCTATAATCCTAACTATAGATTGCTCTAGTCTTGACTATAGTTCACTCACAGTCTATTTATTGTCTTGTCCATAGATCACTCTATAATCTTGACTATAGATCAATCTATATTCTTGACTATAGATCAGTCTATAGATCAAACTATACTCTTGACATAGATCAGTCTATAGTCCTGACTATAGATTAGTCCATAATTACTTTATAGTCTTGACTATAGATCTGTCTATAGTAGTGACTATAGATCAATCTATAGTCTTGACTATAGTTCAATCTATAGCTTGGACTATAGATCAATCTATAGCCTTGTCTCAATGATCTTGCTATAGATCAGTCTATAGTTTTGACTATAGATATTACTTAGTCTATGGATTAGATTATATAGTTGGTAATAGATCAGTTTATGTTCTTGTCTATAAATTAGTTTCTGGATTTCTCAAGGAATTTGTCTATTGATCCGTTTACAGTGGTGACTGTGGGCCAGACTATAAATCAGAAAAAAATACATTAAAGACAAATCTTGTAGTACATCGTTACTAACCCATTTTGTCAAACGTTATACCAAGCTATATTAAATAAAATAGCATGAGTTATATAATTGTTACAAAAGTGAGAACAAGCCACCACGAGTGTATTTTACAAAAAAGAAAAATAAAATAAAGCATCATGTCTACTTTGTTTTTAGCGTAAGCGATTTTTTCTATATATATTTTTTAACCACCATTAATGTCAAGACCCCCACTACTAGTACAGTAGCACCACCTTAAACTACAAAACATTTGACTGCTGCCAATAATGCCACATTCCTATGCCATTATGTACCATATAACTTTTTATGTTTTTTTTTTCAAAGTTGTACAAAGTTCAGTTTAAAAATTGCCTCTATTCAAAAAAAAAAAAAAAAACTAAAAGAATCTGGACAAAAAGTGTGTTTTGTGTTATTTTGAATTTTAGAGTTTGTAGCTGAAAATACGCGATATTTTTCTATTTAAACCATGTGACCAGCAACTTTGTGTCAAATGTTTGCTAACCTCTTGGTTTTTTATTCATACCCTACACTATACTATAGTGTATAGTGTGTTTGTGCTGAAGTTTGTAACTTTCAGATTAGGTTTTTACGATATTATTCTCTCCAGCTGCGATATAAATTTCTCCCTGAAACTGGACATTAAAAGCCAAATATGTTTGAAATAACTACCTCTTCAATTGAAGGGTATCTTGAAGTCGGTTTTTGTTTATAGTTTGTTACTGTAGTTGTTTATAAAAAAGGGGTAAAAATCGAATGATATGATTCTTATATTGTTTTTGTTTTTATTGCTGCTTTTTGCCAGTTAACAACATTTGTCTAGCATTAGTACAACTCTTGATAAAATGCTTTTTTGTTTTTGCTTCACTACCAAGAGGAAGTGCTGCTTATAGAGGATGTTTTTTGCAAACCCATAAACCCCCTTTTGAAAAGCTAGAGGTCAGCGAAATCTACTCACTTTCGCACGAGCGAAAAAAATATATAATACATACTGCCAACTTTTACTTTGGTGGTGGCAGTGTAAGTCAGAAGAGAAGAAAAAAAAAATAACAGATTTGAAAAATAAAATCGCGAAATTCCTTTTTGTTTGAAATTTAAGAACATAAAAATGTTTTTGGTTGCTTTTTGCAATGTTTATATGTTGACATAAAATACAAGGCTCTAGTTTTTAAGGGATTTAAAAGGGTTAGGTAAACACAAGAGCTGCAATACAAACTGCAATTTTCTAATGAAAATCAGTTGATGTTGGGGATATTTTCAAATGCATATGATAAATATTTTATTACATTTGCCCGGAAAAAAATTGTACAGATGTTTGAATTTACATAGTCAGATAGATTTGTTTGTATTTGCAATATGCAATGATAAGCTTTTAGTGATAACAACTCGTTTTTTTTTAATGACATATCTATTACAATTGTACTCAACATAAATGAAGTGAAAAACTGAAATAGAACAGGACTAGAAAGAGCTAGAAAAGAACTAGAACAGAACTAGAACTAGAACCGCAACTAGAACAGAACTAGAACAGAACTAGAACAGAACTAGAACAGACTAGAACACTAGAAACAGACTAGAACAGAACATAGAACTAGAACCCAGAAACAGAACTAGAACAGAACTAGAGTAACAGAACTAGACAGAACTAGAACAGAACAGAACAGAACTAGAACAGGAACTAGAACAGAACTAGAACAGAACTAGAACAGGAACTAGAACAGAACTAGAACAGAACTAGAACAGAACTAGAACAGAACTCAGAACAGAACTAGAACAGAACTAGAACAGAACTAGAACAGAACTCAGAACAGAAACTAGAAAGAACTAGAAGAGAACTAGATGAGAAATCTAGATAGAACTAGAACAGAACTAGAACAGAACTATGAACAGAACTAGAACAGAACTAGAACAGAACTAGAACAGAGACTAGAACAGAACTAGAAACAGAACTAGAACTAGAACAGAACTAGAACAGAACTAGATCAGAAACTAGAACAGAACTAGAACAGAACTAGAACAGGAACTAGAACAGAACTAGAACAGAACTAGAAACTAACTAGAACAGAACTAGAACAGAAACTAGAACAGAAAAGTAACAAACTAGAAACTAGAACCAGAACAGAACTAGAAACACTAGAACAGAACTAGAACAGAACTAGAACAGAACTAGAACAGAACTAGAACAGAACTAGAACAGAACTAGAACAGACTAGAACAGAACTAGAACAGAACTAGAACAGAACTAGAACAGAACTAGAACAGACTAGAACAGAACTAGAACAGAACTAGAACAGAACTAGAACAGAACTAGAACAGAACTAGAACAGAACTAGAACAGAACTAGAACAGAACTAGAACAGAACTAGAACAGAACTAGAACAGAACTAGAACAGAACTAGAACAGAAACTAGAACAGAACTAGAACAGAACTAGAACAGAACTAGAACAGAACTAGAACAGAACTAGAACAGAACTAGAATAGAACTAGAAAGAACTAGAACAGAACTAGAACAGAACTAGAACAGAACTAGAACAGAACTAGAACAGAACTAGAACAGAACTAGAACAGAACTAGAACAGAACTAGAACAGAACTAGAACAGAACTAGAACAGAACTAGAACAGAACTAGAACAGAACTAGAACAGAACTAGAACAGAACTAGAACAGAACTAGAACAGAACTAGAACAGAACTAGAACAGAACTAGAACAGAACTAGAACAGAACTAGAACAGAACTAGAACAGAACTAGAACAGAACTAGAACAGAACTAGAACAGAACTAGAACAGAACTAGAACAGAACTAGAACAGAACTAGAACAGAACTAGAACAGAACTAGAACAGAACTAGTACAGAACTAGAACAGAACTAGAACAGAACTAGAACAGAACTAGAACAGAACTAGAACAGAACTAGAACAGAACTAGAACAGAACTAGAACAGAACCAGAACAGAACTAGAACTGAACTAGAACTGAACTAGAACTGAACTAGAACTGAACTAGAACTGAACTAGAACTGAACTAGAACTGAACTAGAACTGAACTAGAACTGAACTAGAACTGAACTAGAACTGAACTAGAACTGAACTAGAACTGAACTAGAACTGAACTAGAACTGAACTAGAACTGAACTAGAACTGAACTAGAACAGAACTAGAACAGAACTAGAACAGAACTAGAACAGAACAGAAGAACTGAACTAGAACTGAACTAGGACAGAACTAGAACAGAACTAGAACAGAACTAGAACAGAACTAGAACAGAACTAGAACTGAACTAGAACTGAACTAGAACAGAACTAGAACAGAACTAGAACAGAACTAGAACAGAACTAGAACAGAACTAGAACAGAACTAGAACAGAATTAGAAACAGAACTAGAACAGAACTAAAACAGAACTAGAACAGAACTAGAACAGAACTAGAACTGAACTAGAACAGAACTAGAACAGAACTAGAACAGAACTAGAACAGAACTAGAACAGAACTAGAACAGAACTAGAACAGAACTAGAACAGAACTAGAACTGAACTAGAACAGAACTAGAACAGAACTAGAACAGAACTAGAACAGAACTAGAACAGAACTAGAACAGAACTAGAACAGAACTAGAACAGAACTAGAACAGAACTAGAACAGAACTAGTACAGAACTAGAACAGAACTAGAACAGAACTAGAACAGAACTAGAACAGAACTAGAACAGAACTAGAACAGAACTAGAACAGAACTAGAACAGAACTAGAACAGAACTAGAACAGAACTAGAACAGAACTAGAACAGAACAGAACTAGAACAGAACTAGAACAGAACTAGAACAGAACTAGAACAGAACTAGAACAGAACTAGAACAGAACTAGAACATAACTAGAACAGAACTAGAACAGAACTAGAACAGAACTAGAACAGAACTAGAACAAAACTAGAACAGAACTAGAACAGAACTAGAACAGAACTAGAACAGAACTAGAACAGAACTTGAACTGAACTAGAACTGAACTAGAACTGAACTAGAACTGAACTAGAACTGAACTAGAACTGAACTAGAACTGAACTAGAACTGAACTAGAACTGAACTAGAACTGAATTAGAACTGAACTAGAACTGAACTAAACTGAACTAGAACTGAACTAGAAGAACTGAACTAGAACTGCTACTAGAACTGAACTAGAACTGAACTAGAACTGAACTAGAACTGAACTAGAACTGAACTGCTAGAACTGAACTAGAACTGAACTAGAACTGAACTAGAACTGAACTAGAACTGAACTAGAACTGAACTAGAACTGAACTAGAACTGAACTAGAACTGAACTAGAACTGAACTAGAACTGAACTAGAACTGAACTAGAACTGAACTAGAACTGAACTAGAACTGAACTAGAACTGAACTAGAACTGAACTAGAACTGAACTAGAACTGAACTAGAACTGAACTAGAACTGAACTAGAACTGAACTAGAACTGAACTAGAACTGAACTAGAACTGAACTAGAACTGAACTAGAACTGAACTAGAACTGAACTAGAACTGAACTAGAACTGAACTAGAACTGAACTAGAACTGAACTAGAACTGAACTAGAACTGAACTAGAACTGAACTAGAACTGAACTAGAACTGAACTAGAACTGAACTAGATCTTAACTAGAACAGAACTAGAACTGAACTAGAACTGAACTAGAACTGAACTAGAACTGAACTAGAACTGAACTAGAACTGAACTAGAACTGAACTAGAACTGAACTAGAACTGAACTAGAACTGAACTAAAACTAAACTAGAAAAAAAATAAAAATTGCTGAATATATTTTAAAATTTTTCATAAATACCTGCTTTTTAGTAACATCTTTTAAAATTTAACAAACTTTTCCAAACACTCACCTAAAATAAAAATTATAGAAAAAAAATGTTAAATTAAATATACAAATTATTCTATTGTCTATGTAAATTGCAAAAATATGCTTAACTTACAAAAATAAACTTAACATGCAAAACAATAAAATTATTTTAATTAAAAATAAA